ACTGCACCCCAAGACCCCGCCAGCCCGCTGGCTTTCACCCCCCACCCACCCACCACTTACTCCTCTCGGCCTGCCCGCCAGCTGGCTGAGGTCTCCCCTCCGTCCCCTGGCTGGACCCCGGTGCACCTCTGGCTCTGGGCAGTCTCTGCTTCCCACCACCTGTGGGGCCCTGCCTGTTCCTTAGAGCTGAGCTGCCTGGCACTGCTGCAGAAGCCTAGCCAGTCTCAGCCGGGGACGGGGGGGGGGGGCTTGGCTGGGCCCCTCCAGGCAAATACATCTTGAGGGATCCTGGCTGGGCAGGCCCTGGCCTGGCTGGTTGTGCCAGTCCGGAGGGGCTGGAGTGATTCCCAGCTCCGGGACCAGCCCTGGCTAGGCTGCTGGCTCAGCCCGGCAGACACAGTCGCCTCCCAGCAGGCGTGGGGGAGTGAGTCTCTGGGGGGTCGGGGCGGGGGGGTTGGGCTGGGAGGAGGCGGGGAAGATCTGTGTGATGGCGCACTAGGGAATGGGGGTTCTGTGTTGGGTGCTGTGCAGTTGTGGTGGGGCTGTGGACAGGGGTGGTTTTGTGCAGGGAGCTATGCATTTGTGGGGGCGGTCTGGGGGAGCACTGGGCATAGTGGGTCTGGCGGGGCTCTGGCCTTGGGGAGTTGTTGGGTGGGGTTGTGGGGGGTGTGGTGTGGCACGGGCCTGTCCCTGAGGGGAAGGGGCACGCTGGCAGCACATGGGTGGGTGGGCCACTGTGCATCTGGCAACTGCCAGTTTGTAAATAGTGCCCTTGCCCCTGCCATGCCATGCCCCATTGACTCTGGCTGGCCCCTTGCTCTGGGGACTGACCTCTCTGCACCATGCTCCATTGCCTCCATGGGGGCCCACAAATATGTTTGGCGCCAGGCCCACAAAAGGTTAATCCGGCCCTGCCCCCCAGTGTGTCTCGGCCTCTCCGCCACCTTCCCGGCCTGCTTTAGTTCTGTAAACGCTCAGGGCAGGAACCGCTGAGTCGGCAATCCGTGGTGATGGGAAACACTCTACGCTGCAGGGAATCAAGCTCCGCACCCCTCCACCCCCAGCCCTGGTGCGGTGGGCTCCTGCGCTGACCCCCCCTTTGCCCCCTGTGTGGATGCTTGTCTCTGGGGCACTGACAGCAGCGCTCTACGCTGCTCTGGGCCCACCCCGTTGCAAGCATTCAAAAGAAACCCCCGTTTTCTCAGGGGGCGGGGGGGTGGGTTCAAAAGATATTTTCCTCCCAGAAATGTTCCTTTTTTGTGGGTGAAAAGGAAACAAATGGCCCTTAGGAGTTGTTATCTCCAGCTACCAGCACTAGAGTATCTGAGGCCCAGCTCTTCCAAGTATTTAGAGTCCTAACGTCCATTGATTTCAAGCCCTTTGGGCTCTGGGCCTGAGCGTCTCACAACCTCGGCCCCTGTCAGGCAGGGAAGATTCCCGTTTTAAAGCTGGGGGCCCACGGCCCAGACAGGCTAAGGGATTTGCCCAAGGAAGCCTGCCGCAGAACAAGGCCGAGAACCCACGTCCTAGCCCAGAGCCCACCCACGGGACCGTGCTGGGGAGGGACATGAACCAAAACTCTGACAATATGACGTTTGTAGCCAGCTAGAAATAAAGTTTTTTTTTGTTTTGCTGGCCAGGCTATTTTCATAGCGACAACGGTTTTTAAACGGTGTCGATTTCTGGTTCAAAATGTCAGGGTTGGGCCCAAAGCCATTTTGCTTCGTGAAATAAACATCGACCTGCTCCAGCCTCGAGTGCTTTCTACCCTTAGCTCTGACTCGTCAGCAGCCCATGCTACCAGCAGGGAAACTGAGGCAGAGACAGGCCGCCGTGGCCCACAGGGTGATTCAGCGGGGGCGAGATGGGAATAGAGCCCAGGTGTCTTGCCTCCCAGGGCTACGTCTCATCCTTCGGCGCAGCCACCCTCCCACCCATAATGCTCTGATGCCCCCCCCCCCTTCCCTCCCCCCCCCCCCCCCCCAGCCCAGGCTTCTTAAATTAGACGCTCTTTGGTCCAGGACAACGTTACTAAGATGAGCCAAAGCTCTCAGCAGGGCAGCCCAGGGTGCTGGCCGGGGGCCTGCCTATCCCTGCCCCGCTGTCGGCTCGGGAGGAGGGTTTTGTGTGCCTGGCACCGGTTGACCGAGGCTGGCTGGCTGGGCAGCACAGGCGCTGGGGCCTGGTTCGGTTTGGGGGACATGAGAGCTGCCCTCAGGACGGAGCAGCTCCGGTGCCGGAACGCGCCAGCTTATTCTGCGCTCCCCAGTGGTGCCCTTGGGGGGGTGGGGGGGGGCGTAAGCATGGACAGAAACCAGACGCTTTCGGGTCACAGCCGCCGGCTGCCGTTGTTCTGCGCCAGGCATCTTTCACCTTGAAGTGACAGGAGCTGCGATTGGCGGGCTGCCCCCGTTTCTATGGAGACGGGGGTCCTCCAGGAGCCGGGGCTGGGATGGAGCCGGGCTGAGGGGCTGGGACTGGCGAGGATGAGAAATGAGGAACAGGCAGAGGCAGGCGGATGGACAGGGAGACAGACAGACAGTCAGACGCTAAGAAAAGGGGAGGCAAGCGCTTGCCCCCCCCCCACTGCTGATGGGAGGGGCGCTGGTCGCACCCCCCCTTTGGATGCCAAAAGGGTCTATGAATTAATCAGAAATCCACCCCCCATCCATGTGCAACGCTGGATTCAAAGCAGAACGTGACCCCCACCGGGCACACAGCTGCAGGGCAGGGCAGGGGCCAGTCCCCTGGGGTATGAGCTGGCGGGCGGGCGGGCGGGTGGGGTTCACCCCAGGGCTGGGCAGAGGGACTTACATGCATCCCATGTTAGCCAGTGTTAGGGCGACCAGACAGCCAGTATGAAAAATCAGGACAGAGCCCAGTGGCATCGCCGTGCCCGTGCTGATGCGTCCGTAGCCGTGTGTGTGCGTGTCCTGGAGTCAGCCTGTCACCCGCTCATACAGCGCCGTGCACTGGCCCGACTGTGGGTGGGTGCCTGTGTCCAGGTGGGGGAGAAGGGGGCTTCCCAGACCCGGCGATTGGTGAGGGTCTGCAAGGTGCAGTCACTCCGACTGGCGCGGTGGGAAGGGCCGGGGAGGACCCGCTGGCTGAGCAGAGCCCTCGGCGTCTCTCTCTCTCTGTGTCCCGGAGGCTTCCCCCAGCCCTGCTCCATCAGGCATGGCTGCCGCAGAGCCCTCAGTGCGGGGGTCTCTCCACCAGCTAAGACCCCACATCCCCCTGAGCCGTGTATCGCCTCGGCCCTGACACCGCCTGCTCTGAGGGGGCTGGGCCCATTTCTGCCCACCCGCCCCCACCTCAGATCATGGCCCCTCCGCCCTGCTAATGAGGTGCCAGGCCCGGCCTGTTGCCCAGGCCCAGCGAGGGCTCTCACCCCTCCAGTGGCTGAGAGGAGTGGGCCGGGGGGCTGGGAGTGGGGTAAGGCTAAAACAGGCAGCAGCCATCTTCCCCACTAGGCCCCCAGCCCCACTCCAGCTGAGGTTGGCCGTTCCCCATGGAGGGCTGCTTGGAGAGCTGGGGGGACCAGCCCAGATCAGAAGTGGGCATTAACTGGCGCTTGCGGGCAGAGGCCCAGGGCTGAATGGGCCAAGAGTAGGAAGGAGACAGGTGCTGAAGGAGCTGAGGAGGGGGCGAGCTGCCCCCCTCCCATCCTGTGTGGGGGTGGCCATGTCCCAGGAGGTGGCCTTGCGGCTGCAGGTGCTAATTTAGCTCGCGGGAGGCCAGGAAACTCTCCCAGCTACCGGACCCGGGCCAGAGGGAGGAGACGCAGCAGCCCAGCAGGGGAGCCGCCTTTGGGGGAAATGAGGCTGGGAGGCCCCCTCGGGCTGACCCCCTGCTCTCTAGGAAGAGCTGTGTCCACTGGATCGAGGGGGCGGGGTGACCCAACAATAGGGTCTGGGGAGGGGAAACTCCCCCCCTCCAAACTGAGCCCAGCTCCCCAGGGCACCTAAGGCAGTTAGGTGCAAATGGGGCTTTCGCTCTCCGGGCTCGGATCTCGGAGGCAGCCCCTCGCCTACAGGTGGCCAGGAGACCCTCTAGCCCTGGGACCAGATCTGCTCTCGCCCCTCGTCCCCTGGTGAGTAATGCAGAGCCCTGGGGCCCCGGGGGGACCCCTGAGACAGACGGACGGGCGAGGGCCGAGTCTGGACTACGGCGTTTAATGGAACCCTATCTGCCAAGGCAGCACGAGCACAGAGCACACACGGCGCGACGGCCCCGCGCACACACGCCAGGGGAATGGGGGGGAGGGGGCCCACCCGGCTCAGGGGGCCGGAGAGGTTGTGGTGGGGGGGAGCTGGCTCAGGCGAGATGACACCGGGGGTAGGACACCGGAGGGCAGTTACATGAACCTACCGTGTCTACATGTTATTGTGCTCAGAGCCTTCCCGGGGGTGGCGGGCGTGTCCCTCCCAGGGCAGGACGGTGGGGGACATGCTAGAAACCTCCCTCCCACAGTGGCAGCCCCCAGGGCTGCACAAAGGAAGGGGGAACCCTGGGATCAAACCTGCCTGGAGGTGGGGGGGGGAAAGTAACTTGGGAGTGTCTCTCAGAGCCCCCCAGAGCAGGGCAGAGGAGATTTTATGGGGCAGGACACAGCAGGACCTTGGGGCCAGCAGCATCCCGGAGTAGGAGAGACCAAGGTGGGGGCGGAGGGGAAAGGGAATCTCCCGGACAATCTCCCCGACAAACAGCCCCGAAGCAGGAGCTCCCAGATGGGGCTAGAAGGGATGACCCCAGGCTAACCCCGTCCCTGTGTGGGACCTTCCAGGACAAAGGCCACCCCCCCAGAGCAGGACGCAGGGGTTGGAGGGCGTTGGATGCAGCATTGCGGCCAGAGCGACTTGCCACTGCTGCTTCGGAGCAGGAGTCCCCTGTGCTGAAACGGCCGGGCACGCGGCATGCAGCCCCATTCGCCCCTGGGGGCTGGGCTGGGGCCGGACCAGCCCTTCCTCGTGGTCAGCAAGCACCCAGCGCCCCCCGGGTCAGAGGGTCTGCACGGCGACGGGGTACAGCAGCGAGAGTTGCTCGGCCCCTTTGACGGGCAGCTCCCGCACCGTGTAGTAGTGGATGACCTCGGGGATGCTCTCGAAGGGGGCGCTGTTCTGGCCCAGCACATACTTGCTCTCCCTGGTCCTGGTGAACTTCATGTGCATGAAGCCCTGGCTGCTCCTGGGGATGGAAGCAAAGGGGAAAGAGCGTTAGCAACGGGCATCCCCTCGCATAGGAGCAACCCCGTTGGCCCTGAGCTCTTGTCTTTGCTGCGGCCAGCCACTAGAGGGAGATATGGTCATGCGAAGCAGAGCTGCTCGGCTGTGTGTCATAGGGCCTATACTGCTAGTGGTTGCTGGGGATTCTCCCTTATCTGAAGCAGAAACAGCCGGTGGTTTTTGGAGCAGGAGGCTCTGAGTTCTAGCCCAGCTGCTGCCAAGTAGCCATGGTACTCAGCATGGCGACAGCCGTGCCGTCACTGCTGGCCATGGGATCCACCACACTAGCTTCCTCCTCATTGCTCAGTGGTGGAATCTGAGGCCCCAGAGAAGGGGAAGCCACTCGCTCACCGTCCCAGCAAACCAGCCCCAGCAACAGAGCCCAGGAGTGACGCCTGGCCACGCTGTCTGGGGATCGGAGCAGGGTACCGCGCTATCTCCAGCCCAGCGGATCCCAGTGCAGGAGTGTTGCTGGCTGTGGAATCCCTGAGCACCCTGGCAGGTTGCGTGATCCAAGCCAGCCAGGAGAGCGGCTGCTCTGCTATCTGGAGCCAGGCTGGGGGCAGAGATAGCGCCCACCCCAGCCCTAGCCCTGTGCGGGGATAAATATTTCTAAGCGCGCGGCGGGGGGAGCGGGGCCCTGGGCTCCTGCCGGGGATCAGAGCATGCTGCTGCGATTAACCTGATGAAATATTCATGCCGGCTGCTCCCCAGGCCGCGCAGCTCACTCTGTGCACAGACAGCCGACAAAGCGCCCGCCGGCCCGGCCCTTTGATGTGCCTGCCGGCCGCTAATAAGCAGCAGATGTTCCAGGCCGAGAGTTCACGGGGAGCTACTTGTCGGGGGATTGCGCCCGTGTGCCGGGGAAGGGCCTGGAGGATCCTGGGGAGAGGAGCCCCTCCCCCATCCAAGGCTCTCCAGGGATGACTTAAAAACTTACCCGCCTCAGGAGGAAAGCTTAAGGGCCTAAGCTTACAGGATGCTGATTCCCAGTCCCTTGCTCTGACCACTGGGCCCCACTCCCCTCCCGGAGCTAGGAACAGGAGCCTTGTCCCAGGACTCTGGGGTCCAGCCTTCCCCTACGCTAACCCAGCAGACCACACTGGGAATAAGTGTGAATATTTGCTGCTTCACATAACACAAGAACCAGGGGTCACCCAACGAAATCAACAGGCAGCAGGTTTAAAACAAACAAAAGCCTCCAGGAGAAGGTACCGTCCATAGGGCACCACTAGGGCTGGCTCTATAGGGCCGGAGAGCAGAAATGTGCCACTCCTAGGTGGGCTCTGGCCCTCGGGGCAGTGACTGACGACGCCATGTTTTCACCCCTCAATGCCCCCATCCTTCACCCACGTCCACCCCTTGGCTCCAGGAGTCGAGATGCCCCAACACAAGGCACCATGTGTCCCAGGAGCTCTGGCTCCCAGTGCCAGGGAGTGGGGCAGGAATGTAGCGATCACAGCGCCCGCCCACCCCCACCAGCCCCCCGCGGCCTGCGATGCACCAGCGCCTGGAAGAAGTGAAGGGCTCTCCTCTGAGGTCAGTTTCTGCAGCCCCCACCTCCATCTCCTCCCAGGCCTGCAGGGCGAGAGGCAACCAGCTTCTCCCCTCCCCACCCCCCACGCTCCCCTCCCCACCACAACGCCAACAGGGCGCAGGCCATGGCACACCCGCTCTCTGCACTACACAGGGATTCGGTGAGCTGCTTTCTCTCCCACGCACGTACCGTGGGCATGAGCTCTCGCTCCAACCTCCAGAGAGAGGTGTCATGGGAGCCCTGGGAAGTGAGAGGGAGAGAAAGGGGGAGTCTAGTGGTTAGAGCAGGGGAGTGGGAATCAGGACTCCTGGGTTCTACGCTTGGACCTTGTAGTGTGGTCTAGCCTGGGACTTTCAAAGGAGTTTATGGGAGTTAGCTACCGACTTGCACCTAACCCTCCTGGGAGTCAGACCTCCTGGGTTCTCTACCCAACTCTGCCAATATCTCACCACTGAGGACCAGACCTTCCCTGCTCTGTGCCTCGGTTTCCCCATCTGTGCAACAGGGCTAACAGCTCCCCCTGGTGGGGGTGCCAGTTTAATTAATGACCGCCCACCTGGGAAGCTCCAGGTGGCTGGGTCATAGAGCTGCAGTGCACGAGTACCCCCCCTGCAGACAATCCCCCGGCCGGCACAGCAGCTCTCCGCAGAGGCAGGGGGGTAGAGAGAGAGCGGGCGTCTCACCTGAGCGACAGGGAGTAGTCATGGTGGCTGGTTTCGCTGTTCCGCACCAGGTAGCTGCCTTCTTTGCACAGAGTCAGCAGGGTCTCGGCGTCCGCTCTGCTGATGGAGCCGTGGTACCACCTGGGGTGGGGGGAAAGGGAGAGGGTCACACAGCGGCAGACACAGAGCTGCCAGTGCTCACAATTTCACCATCAGCCTCGCGATACCTGCTGCTTTTAGGAACATAGAACACAGGGCTAGACGTCTTTGGGCCAGTCCCCTGCTATCCCAGGCAACCCCATCGTATCATCCCGGCCATAAACCTAGCAAGCTCCATCTTCAAACTAGCTAGGTTGGTTTCCCCTACTCCTCCTATTGGGAGGCTGCTCCAGAACCTCCCTCCTCACAAACCTTCTTTTAATTGCCTGCCTTTTCTCAAATCCCCAGCTACCGGAGTCACGTGAATACAGGAGAATCTCAGCTTTCCTTTAAAAGATTAAGTGGGCTTCTAGCTCTTCTAGTTGCAGAGAAAAGCCTGAAAACGCAACCCAAGAGCACCCTGAAAGCTCAGAACCAAGAAGGTAAATTGAAAGAAGCGCCATGTTTTTAATCCCAGGATTGTTCAAGGCCATCTCATGATTTTTGGGGGCCTGACTCAGGAACTTTGAATGCTTGGGGTTGGCCACGCTGCAGGCAAGGTCCATGTTATCTTGGCAAGCGCACGACCCCCTGTCCCCGTCCCCGTCCCCCCCATAAAGCTTCTTCTCCATCCCCCTGGACCTCATGATGTCTTTTACACCAGTGGAGAGTGGGAGCAACACGCTACCACAATCTTTGCCCTGGTGTGAATGACCACCCAAGACATAGGGTGACCGACAGTGGAGCCTGTTGCTGCAATCAGCTAGGCTGCAGGACACGCAAGCCAGGCCTGTCCGCACGAGGCCCTCTGGAATGACTTAAATACCTGCCCCCTGTCGGGCCTGACCCTGGCCCTATGTTCAGGTGTGGTAGCAGCAGTGCTTTCTGGGCACGTATCCCAGAATGCCCAGCAGTGCTCCGATCTGTGGTGCATTGTGGGGCGATTGCAAACCATCCTCTGGGAGGAGAGAGGTCAAACTCCCAGAATGCCTCCGGGAATTCCTTCCTCCTGTGACAGTTTCCGTGGCATGTGACGGTGCTAGTGACTCAAAGCTCGGGAGCTCAGCGCTGTGTTCTGACCAATGACCCGTACGCACGCCTTGCCCCAGTGCACCTTGGGACAAATGCATTATGGGCTCAGAGCTCTGGCCACAGTTGCACCCAGCGTGGCTGGCTTGGGGGGTGGTACACCTTCAGCTCCCGCCCTGTGTGGCCTGCCATCAGGGCACCGGAGCAGGCAGGGAACCGTGGATCTAAAGGACGCTGGTGCCTGGCTTGCCCGTCCCTGGGACTTACACCTGCTTCTCCAGTGGCAGCGAGGGGTCCACGCGCTCGGCCACGGGGGGGCTGCGCTCCGGGCTCTGCGATCGGCCGTGCTTGGAGCCTGCCGTCAGGTGCTTCGGCGGCCAACAGCGCTCTTTGTTCAGGGAGGAGGGGCGCTCCCAGTCGGGGTTCTCGAACTGCACTGCTTGGGTGGGGGGAAAATGCGTTACACGGGGAGGGAGAGGTAGCAGGCTGCTCCTGGTCGGGCCGCAGTCTCGGCCCCAAGCTCAGCTGAGCTCCGAGTCCCCCTTGCCGGCTCCACCCTCCGCTCCCAGTGAGCCATAGTCTCTTCAGCCCAGCAGCAGCCTTGGCCCCCACTGACGTCAGTAGCCAGGCCCCACACCTGGGTACCTGGAGGACACTGCTCCCGTCTCTAGCCAGTATCATTGGTCCAGGGCCAAAGGAGGGTGAACTCCTGCCCCACAAATGCCACCCCCGCCCCGTACCCAGCCTGGTGGGCAGAGCCTCAGTCAGGCCCAACCCTTCCTCAGTCAGATTCCTCTTAGCTTCAGCCCGCGCCTGCGTCCCCCGGTGCCCGTCTGCCCACGCGTCCATCGAGCTGGGGGACGCTGAGCGCCCGGAACCCTGCTCGTTCGGAACCCAAGCAAACAACGTCAGACGCCGGAGCTCTGGATCCAAACTCTGTGCCTAATCCCAGCACCCCTCAGCCTCAGGGGAACCCCACACCCCATCGCCCAGTTACATTACTTTGCTCACTGGGCCACTGAAGCCAATGGGAAGATGGCAGAGGCTGCAGGCTCAGGCCTGTGGCCTCTTTGCAGCAGGGGCCTGTAACCCCATGGAGCCTGTCTGGGACTGGACTAGAGCCCCTGGCCTGATGGGCCTTTAAGGTGCCATTAGTAATGCCACATCCTTTCCCTCTGACGCCATCTCCCGCTGCTGCGCCGGGGCAGGGCAGGAGGCCGGGGCGCCAGGCCGGGAT